CCTAATTTCTCATTCATTGTCTTTACTAATACATTTTTTTACAAAGCTTTTTAGGTTTTATAAGTCCGCACACTTCTGTCGCATCCATAATCTACCACTAATCTAAAATTTGTTAAATTGCATCATGAGACCAGCCCTCCCTCCCTCCTGCCCCTTGATTATTCCTGGGCTGGCCTTCTAATAACGCTTCAGCTTGTTTTCTGTCATATTTATCTTTCTCTCTACTTTACAGCTCATGCTGCGCAGGTCACCTGTGTTGCTGCTTCTCTCCACAAGGATTCTGTGTTTCTTTCATGCAGTGAGGTGAGAGAAACCTCCTTCTTCCCTAAACACACTCCAGCCCTCCATAGGCCACAGTCTCTAGTGTGGAGATTTTCTGGCCTGCAGCTGCTCCTTCACACTTAAGAGCCCTTTGAAGACCTTTGATGTTCCCAAACCTCAGCTAGAACATTGTCTGCTTTAAAGAACTACTTAATCAGCTAATGCTTTGAAAATATACCCACACCCCCTCACTGTTCCCATTCATACCCATCAGGCCCCTGATAACAAAGACCAGTACCTGTGTGGTGAGAACACCAGCCCAGTGACACACTGGGAGTGTACAGCTGAGCTCAGGACACAGCTTGTACTCTTGGTGTCGACAAGGGAGACCATCCCATTTTCATCCCCTGTAGAAGAGAAGGAACATGTCATAGTGGTTAAGAGCATGGACTTGGTGCCAAAGTCAGTTTTCTGTTTTGGTGCATCAGTTTTCTCTTTTGCAAAGTAGGAATAAGAAGTCACTGGACAATTGTGAAAATTAAATTAATGAATGAAGGAGTTACTATTTTAACCACAAACTATGTCACCATATGCTCAGCCTCATCACAATAGCCCTACACCTACCCACAGTCGAACAGAAATCCCTATATAGCAACCCACTTGCTTTGTGGCTCACTGACTTCTAGCCATGCCCAGAATACAGCAGCTGGATCAATCAATCAAAAATCAAATCCACTGGGGAAAAAAAAATGTTCTCCAAAGCTACAGTAAGACTACATTAGCATCACTCCCACCTCCCCACCCTTAATTCATAATTCATCTAGTGTTCATGAGGGCTGATAAGACTCAGCACCAAGAGCCTTGTGCATTGCGGAGTCAGCTCTTTTTCTCTCCTCCTTCCCTTTCCCAGAGTCAATATGAAGTCTGACATGCTGCCTTACCAAAGACAAAGACTTCACTTTGCTGAGGATGCCAAGCCAGTGAGGTAGGAAGGGAGCCAGAGGCACTGCAGCCTGCAAAAAGAGGGTCTGTACTAAAACTCGGAGCCCAGAAGAAGCAGTTTCTCAAGTGACATCACTCTAAATCCTGGGAGCACCTTTATTGGATTTCCCAAACCCTGCTGAGGCAACAATGTCTCATCCTTCAGCCTCATAACCATTTATCCACCAGCCTCCTGCCCTTTCTGGACATGAGTCACAGGCCAGTTTCAAACACAAATCACGAAGATAACAATTCTGGCCCCTTTGTCCTCCCATCTAATAAAGTAAATAACCCACCCAGGAACTGGTCCTTCCTCTTGGTATTCACTGCACAGAATGGGGTTAGCAGAGCCTCAGTGGAAAAGAAGGAGATTATGTCACTCATGTCACAGTAACTAGATCAGGCATCGGGCAAATTTGCTTTGACACTGGCCAAAGAAAGTCTCTTCTATTGGGGTTCCAAGTTCTATTCTCCCACCAATGAATCTCAGACTCACCAATCTGTGATGCTGGCTTGGGACAGCGGGTATCCCAAAGTAAAATTCTATTGTCCTATAGGGAGGCGGAACAGAAAAAGGACTTCACAATCCAAAGGGGCAGATGTAGGCCAGAAAATCTCCACACTAGAGACTGTGGCCTGCGGAGGGCTGGAGTGTGTTTAGGGAAGAAGGAGCTCTCTCACCTCACTGCATGAAAGAAACACAGAATCCTTGTGGGGAGAAGCAGCAACACAGGTGACCTGCGCAGCATGAGCTGTAAGGTAGAGAGAAAGATAAATATGACAGAAAACAAGCTGAAGCGTTACAAGAAGGCCAGTCCCGGAATAATCAAGGGGCAGGAGGGAGGGAGGGCTGGTCTCATGATGCAATTTAACAAACTTTGTGGTAGATTATGGATTCAACAGAAGCTAAGAGGAGAAGTGTACAGACTTATAAAACCTAAAAAG